AATAGAAAAAATTCGTGGGGGGGGGGGGGGGGGGGGGGGGGTCGCAGACAGAAACGGGCACTTTAGAATCGATTAAAGGGGCAGGGGCTGGAGTTACATAAAATATAACGTGATGAGATTCTGCCCTCAGCCAAAACTATTTGCTCTGGAACAAATAATAGATTAAAGAGACCAAAGATTGCCTGTTAAATTTACCCAAAATGCTCATGTTTAACCACTATAGAGACATCAGAACCAGTGACAAATTCCCGAAGAATTGGCCGAGGTGAAGCCGCTGACGCCCTGGAGCTCACGTCTCCGAAAACGTTTTCAAATAGACATTATCTTTATTAACAAACCACATATTTGAAGTCTAAACAACTACATTCGGTGACACAAAAACAGTATTATTTGTACATTTATAGTGGATTCGGGCATCCACCACGACACTCGCTGTGAGAAATGCTGCAAGCGGAGTGATACAAACAGTAAAACGTGGCGATAATGGTTAAATATTTAATGAGTGGAAATACCTCTAAGCCAATCAGATTCGAGGACCAGAAAGAACTGTTGTACACACACACACACACACACACACATATATATATATATATATTATATATATATATATAAGCAAGCTCACAAGTTAATATTTAAATTAGAGGGGTCATATGATGCTGCTAAAAAGAACATTATTTTGTGTATTTGGTGTAATGAAATGTGTTTATGCAGTTTAAGGTTCAAAAAACACATTATTTTCCACATACTCTACATTATTGTTTCTCCTCTTTTTTTTTACAAAGCTCATCGGTCTGAAAAGCGAGGTGTGCTCTGATTGGCCAGCTATCCAGTGCGTTGTGATTGGCCAAATACCTCAAGCATGTGACGGAAATGTTACGCCCCTCACCATATTGTGATGCCCTGTCCGGCCGGATCCACGGTGAAAGCCGATCCGGTGATTCACAGCGCGAAGTTGACCAGCACGGATCAGCTCCAGGCATGACGAAGCGATATCGTCCTCTTTTGGAAAGCCAAACAAAGTAGTTTCACTTTCACAACGAAACACACGGCGCCTTCACGACATGGCGGTGACTGCAGCAACAATACTACAGTGAAAATAAAAGTTACGCCTTCTTTCTTTGCGTGAACATTTGGGCGGCGTTATGCAAATCTTCCCACATCGTGATGTAGACATGTGGGGGCGTGTTAGAATGAGCCGTTTTAGGTAGGCGTGGTTAACTCTTAACTTTTGCAAAGAATATCTCTTTGGATTTGAGACTTTAGTCTTTGCAACTTTACAGATTTTCTTTATGCACCAACAGCTTGTAACACTCCAAAGAGAAAGGAAAACTTGAAATCGCATCATATGACCCCTTTAATATAAATAGTAATATAATGTCTGAATGTCATGTTTTTTGCCTTGGTGTTTTAAATTCAGTAGCGCCATGCAGGAAACATTAGCAGTCCCTTACCAATCCCGCACACTTATTTTTCAGTCCCAAATCAGAGCCAAAGAGGCCTCAAACATTCGAAGCTTAAGCTTCTTATTGATGTTTTTTTTAAATGATCCACACACATGCACAAACACGTTTTTTTTCCATGGTCACACATGCTCTTGCTTATGCTGTCATTATCTTGTTTCTGCTCATTTCCTCATCTTTTTCTCCTCTTCCTCTTAAATCTTCTAAAACCCTACTGTCAGGCTGAGAGGAGCATAAACAGCAAATCAGGCATGCAGCCATCCTTGACACACACATATATCCTGCATACACTCATGCATATTTTGTGTCTGTGCGTGTTACATACTTTTTACCCAGACCACCCAGATAGGCTATTCATAGTGTTGTGCCAACAGCATAAGAAGGAGTCTTATGTACAGACACACACACAAGACTTTTGTGGAAAAAGATTCTGGTCTGATTAAGTATCATTTCTAACATCTGTTTTTAGCTTCACTTTTCAACACTGTCTAAAACAAGTATTATCCATTTTTAAACCGCTTTTGCACCATTTTAGAAAGATAAATTATTTAAAGGTCGTGTGTTTGTGTCTACAGAAATTCCAGGGCATTGAAGAGGAACATGTTCTGCGTATACAGGAGATTATCCATTCATACTGTCAGTCTGTTGAAGAGACGCACATACAGATAGGAGAGGTAAGCAGAGAAATACATACACAAATGACTCTTTAATTTATTTACACATGTGTAAAAAAATAAATAAAATAATAATAAAAAGAAATTTACAAAAAAGTGTAGTAACACTTTATTTTAAGGACCATTTCTCACTATTAAGTAGTTGCTTATTAGCATGCAAATTACTAGCACGCGGGCGGTTTATTACTTATAAAGCACACATTAATGCCTTATTCTGCATGACCATAATTTAGACCCCTAAATCCCACCCCATACCTAAATTGAACTACCTTGCTAACTGTTTATATGCCGCAAATTTGAAATTTAATGAGGCAAAAGTCATAGTTAATAGTTAATAGTGAGAATTGGTCCTTAAAATAAAGTGACAAAATTATATATATAGTTATGATCCACTGTAAAATATTTCTATTTTTATAGTCATTATAACATTTTTATTAAAAATACTTATCCGGTAATCACAAAACAACTAGAAAAATCAATGAAAATTCAATGCGTAAAAGGTATGGCAACGCTGGATTAAGCCTGAAATCTGGCTGTTGTATCATCATTTTGCTATAGATGGCGCCAGAGACCCTTAGATGTGCAGAAGTCAAGCAAGCATAAGTGAACTTCATAACATAAGGGTTATCTGATCAGTCCTTCCTTATCAATCCTAAATCCCATTGCCTTTGATTTAGAGTTATTTATAACATATGCACACCCTGTTATTCATTGAAATACACTTCCGTGCAGGCAACTGAATGCACCAATCGCATTCCTATAGACCCACAGCAAAACGATCACTTTTAGGGATTTTACTGGTTATTGACCACAGAACTATTGCATGCTCGGATTTGGGCTTCCTCCTAACCACACACACTCTTGTGTTCAGCTTGAGCCCGAGGAGATATAAGATTTGAGTTTTTCTGTGGTTAGTAGGTTTCTACTGTTTCTATGTGTATATGTATGAGTTGGATCCTCTTTTAAGTGCAGCATTTGCTCGTGCAGGAGTTGGTGTCACTGTTCGTCTTTACAGTACGTTAGTTTTGAGATCTTGATGTAACAAGGGGATCTCTCTCGATGTGGAATGGCAGAGCAAGAAAATGGCATGTGTCTTTGAAAGAAGAGATAAGGCCAAATTCTTTAATAAAACTTTCAAGATCAACTTAACTCTTCACAAGCTATGAGACCGTTAAGTGATGGTATATGCTTCTGTAGATAATAGTCAGTGATTTCAACATTATAAAAAACTTATTCCCAGTGAGGAACCCATGGAACCACTACCCTCTCCATGAAGAACTACAAATAACAGAAGTCGGTTTCACTACACTCTTAGGGTGCTTTCACACTTGGTTCGATTGCTTGGTCCGAGCCGAGTTCGATTGCTCCCCCCTCCCCCTGCCCCCGCTGGACTGTGTTCACATTATATTATTTGGGTCCGAACCATAGACTGTAAAAAAACATGGACATAGTGTCCGTGACGTCACTCGTAGGGTTCAGAAGAGCATTTTTGAAGCAAATCTAAAATACTATTTTTTTTTAAACATTTCTATCAGCCACTGATAATTATAAAAGAAAACGTCCCCATTATCTTGTTTCTGCTCATTTCCTCATCTTTTTCTCCTCTTCCTCTTAAATCTTCTAAAACCCTACTGTCAGGCTGAGAGGAGCATAAACAGCAAATCAGGCATGCAGCCATCCTTGACACACACATATATCCTGCATACACTCATGCATATTTTGTGTCTGTGCGTGTTACATACTTTTTACCCAGACCACCCAGATAGGCTATTCATAGTGTTGTGCCAACAGCATAAGAAGGAGTCTTATGTACAGACACACACACAAGACTTTTGTGGAAAAAGATTCTGGTCTGATTAAGTATCATTTCTAACATCTGTTTTTAGCTTCACTTTTCAACACTGTCTAAAACAAGTATTATCCATTTTTAAACCGCTTTTGCACCATTTTAGAAAGATAAATTATTTAAAGGTCGTGTGTTTGTGTCTACAGAAATTCCAGGGCATTGAAGAGGAACATGTTCTGCGTATACAGGAGATTATCCATTCATACTGTCAGTCTGTTGAAGAGACGCACATACAGATAGGAGAGGTAAGCAGAGAAATACATACACAAATGACTCTTTAATTTATTTACACATGTGTAAAAAAATAAATAAAATAATAATAAAAAGAAATTTACAAAAAAGTGTAGTAACACTTTATTTTAAGGACCATTTCTCACTATTAAGTAGTTGCTTATTAGCATGCAAATTACTAGCACGCGGGCGGTTTATTACTTATAAAGCACACATTAATGCCTTATTCTGCATGACCATAATTTAGACCCCTAAATCCCACCCCATACCTAAATTGAACTACCTTGCTAACTGTTTATATGCCGCAAATTTGAAATTTAATGAGGCAAAAGTCATAGTTAATAGTTAATAGTGAGAATTGGTCCTTAAAATAAAGTGACAAAATTATATATATATATATAGTTATGATCCACTGTAAAATATTTCTATTTTTATAGTCATTATAACATTTTTATTAAAAATACTTATCCGGTAATCACAAAACAACTAGAAAAATCAATGAAAATTCAATGCGTAAAAGGTATGGCAACGCTGGATTAAGCCTGAAATCTGGCTGTTGTATCATCATTTTGCTATAGATGGCGCCAGAGACCCTTAGATGTGCAGAAGTCAAGCAAGCATAAGTGAACTTCATAACATAAGGGTTATCTGATCAGTCCTTCCTTATCAATCCTCCCTGCTGAGCTGTGGGCTATGACTAATTTCACGGGCAAAGCAGACAAAATTACAATATGTATCATCGTCTTTTTTCTTTTTCTTTTTTTTTTTACAAATAAAGCTTCATATTATGAGAAGGATACTTTCTTTCTACTTTCTACTCTACATGGAGAGAGTATAAATTCCTTCAATCTAAAAAAACAAGAATCGAAAAAGAATCGAAAACAACAGTGAGGAATCGATTCCCAAAATTTTGGAATGAACAGCCCTAGGATTTCTGTGGGGGGGTGGGTGGGGGGGCAGTGACGTGTTGCCAAGTATGGTCTCCTATACTTGGAATTTAACCCATCCAAGTGCACACACACAGCAGTGAGAAGTGAACATACACGCACACACCGTGAACACACACTCAGAGCAGTGGGCAGCCAATGCTGCGGCGCCCGGGGAGCAGTTGGGGGTTCAGTGCCTTGCTCAAGGGTCTCACCTCAGTCGTGGTATTGAAGGTGGAAGAGAGCGCTGGATATTCACTCCTCCCACCTACAATCCCTGCCGGACCTGAGACTCGAACCTGCAACCTTCAAGTTACAAGTCCAACTCTCAATCCATTAGGCCAGGACGGCCTGAAATAGTTCAGTTTTGTATGTAATGGAAAAGTGATTATATTTCGTTTCGTTTTTTTATAAAGTTAATTTAGTAAAACGTTTGGAGCATTTTTTGTTTCATTAAATGTGTTAGGATATTTTTTTTTCTTTTAAGTAAGGACCAAGCGGCCAGCAGCAGACAGTGAGTTGATCATAGCCTATATGTTTGATCAATTTAGCCTTCTCAAATAATCACGACTTGCCTAAAATAAAATCTATAGATATAATAAAGTTCAAGCATATCACAATGTTAGTTTAAATGTTTACCCTACATAAATGTGCGCTGTTAGACGCATATCTAATCGTTTGTGCGGAGAGTGGAAGCTGAAGCGCGCTCTGCAGGACATGGAGGCGCCAGCGTGATCACTTGCATTTTTTTCTAACAGTGGAAACAACTTAAAATACGCAGCCATTTTTGCTCATAAAGGTAAGAGTAATACATCATTCTAAACTGTAAAGGGTCTACTTTTATTTGTGTGCACTCACAATATCAACAAAACGTTGTGCTTTTATAAAATAAAGAAAACAAACGCTTTCTGCCGTCTCGGTTTTGAGCAGGAGCGCTTCACTATGATGAACTTAAACTCAGCGAATTGTCTCACAGGCATGATAAACATATATAGAAAGCTTTAAATTACTACTTTAAAACGAAATAATTCAATTCGAAAATAGAAAGTATTTCATTAGGCCTATGTAATCCCTAAAGATGCAGTTCTCTCAAAAAGCAGTCCAATGAGGAGTCTTTTTTTTCCCACCATAATTGATGGATGTCTAAAATATAAAAATAATAAAAAGCCTAAAACAGGCCCGATTATAATTTGCGTTGTATTTTATAATTCTGTACAATTTAAAAAAAATAAAACACAAATTATAATGGCATATATGTAAGACTTTGTCCTATAATTGTATAGCTGCTTATATTTTCTGATTTTTAAGTTGCTCTGTTCTGAATACCTTAAAATTTAAAGGATTTGCTGCAACGCAATTGTGTCTGATATGTGAATTATTCATTAGCCTTTTTTTTTAATCCATGCAGCAAATGCTTTAAAAATAGCTTTAAAAAATTACTTTATTGCATTCCAGACGCTTTTAAAGTAGGCTACTTTTCACTATAAATTTTACGGGTAGCTTAAATATAAAACATTGTCATGAATTCGTTGAATTCCCATTTGTAAAATAGACTACAAATTAATTGTTTTAGGCTAACCCGATCTCACGAAAGTGCCTATAGCACGATTTTCTGCTTCTATTTGGCATAATATTTCTGTCCTATAATTGTACAGCTGCTTTTTCTGATGTTTATGTTGCTCTGTTCTGAATACCTTAAAATTTAAAGGATTTGCTGCAACGCAATTGTGTCTGATATGTGAATTATTCATTAGCCTTTTTTTTTAATCCATGCAGCAAATGCTTTAAAAATAGCTTTAAAAAATTACTTTATTGCATTCCAGACGCTTTTAAAGTAGGCTACTTTTCACTATAAATTTTACGGGTTGCTTAAATATAAAACATTGTCATGAATTCGTTGAATTCCCATTTGTAAAATAGACTACAAATTAATTGTTTTAGGCTAACCCGATCTCACGAAAGTGCCTATAGCACAATTTTCTGCTTCTATTTGGCATAATATTTCTATGCAGAAATTGACTTTGGCATGCAAAAGACTGATAAATTCATAATTAACGGCATGGGTTCAGTCGACAGAAATACGGGACATGCAGGCCTATAATAACTGCTGAAATGATTGCGAGGCAAATCTCAGATCAGTCTGAGTGCTCATGGTACTCACAGTGCATAGCCGAACACCTGCAGGCGCCACTGACGAGAGTTTTTATATTTTTATTACCATTCGCCTCCCTCATGCTCGCTAAAAGTGATTAGAAGTCATTAGAAACAGTTTTTAAAAAACGATTCAGAGGTTATTTAACGGTGGACCTTGCTTGTCCACAATTTTGAGCGCTGCACGACAGAATAGATCATGACGTGATCAAGGGTCTTGATCTTATTTCCATCTAAAATACTATTTTTTAAAAACATTTCTATCAGCCAATGATAATTATAAAAGAAAACGTCCCGAGCATAGATCAGTGGCTGAGAGCGAATCTGATTGACAGATAAACCACGAGCTCTATCAGTTATTGTTAATGTTCTGGTTATTTTGTTTCAGTGTACAGTTTGTTAATTTTGTGCAAAGCATACAGTCAAAGTAAACTTCATCATTCAGCTGAACTGTGCACATTTATTTTAGATGTTCAATTCATGCGATATACGCATGTCCCTGCTGAGCTGTGGGCTATGACTAATTTCACGGGCAAAGCAGACAAAATTAAAATTTATGTATCGTCAATTTTTTATTTTATTTTTTACAAATAAAGCTTCATATTATGAGGATACTTTCTACGACCTTTATCCTCCAGTCATGGTGAAATGATAGATTCCTTCAATCTAAAAAAAAAAAAAAAAAGCAAGAATCGAAAACAACAGAACCAGGAATTGGAATCGGACTCGATTCCAAAAAATGTCGGAATCGAACAGCCCTAATCCAAACATACCGAACTCTGACGTCAATCGAACCCGGGTGCGCACCAAAAGTGCTATTTGTATACTGTATATTTGAATATTTTGCAATAAATTAAGTTGTAGTTATTTAACATGTTATTACATTTTTAAGAGTCGTTTTATACTTGTAATCCATAAAAGTCCATTTTTTAATCATAATTTTGCAATACAAAATAGTTTTTCCCTCACAAAAGACAATAAAGTCTGTGTGAACCGGAAGTTGCTGCCGACTTCAGTACTGTAACATATTTCCAACTGAAATGGAGTGTTGAATAGAAGGCGGGGTTTTATTTTAGCGCACTCTCTCCATCTCAGGCTCACAGCAAACTAACGGTTGGAGGAGAGCGGTTAAGGATACTCTGCCCAAACCATCAAACTGATGAAGATTACCAACACAAACAATTTGTTTCAGTAGTTTAACTTTTCAGTAGAATTGTTCACTTTAAGACCAGCAATGTGCGCCAACAAAGTAAAATTGTACATTTTGATTTCATGCGGACTTTATGTGCACAATCTTATACATTTGTATTTTTGTCTGATATTCTTCTTTTTTGTGTGTGAAATGGTTAAGTTCAGAGTAGTATTATTTTAAATCATTCAAGTACTATTGATATTACTATTGATAGTACTATTAATATTTTGAATGTTTTTTATTTTTATATTCTCCATTATCATTTTGAAGTTTTTGTTATTTTTATTTTTTATTTTTTTAGTTTTAGTTATTTTAGTATGCCAAGTTAAAATACATGAAAATGGGAGATTGTATTATTTCAGTTACTTTTCTTTTATTTCAAATAACTAATATGCTTTTTGATGGTTTTAGTTGTAGTTAACTATAATAACCTTGTTTCAGAGCTGGTTGGTTTGGTTCATGGCGTAGAAGTTTTTCTGAAAGTTTTTCTTTTTTTTTAATCCCTATGTGAAAAAAATGCTTGAACCTAGACTGCTTACAAAATCTGTGATGTGATTCTGCTACACAGTGAGCATCATGCATATCTGAGCATGTCTGGAAGGACAGTCAGGACCTTGCTTTACTTTCACTCCTCCTCTAGTCCACAAAGAAGGACATGGATCAAATCACTTTATGAAGTACTGTGTGTTTATGAAATGAACTAGAAGATCTGTGAAACACGCCAGCTATGAAAGAAAAGCATCGAGTCAGCAGTGTAGAAGACATATTGCATTTGTCACATCCCTTGAGGGCTATAAAAACAAAGACAGTCAAAGTGGTCACCTGGGGAAACAGTGCCACTGGTCACATCCTCATAGTGTGCAACATTTTGAACTTTGTAAGTTGAATATTGTATAAATTGACAAAAGTTCATGTTTTATAAATGAATATGAACATGTTCATTTTTAGTTCAAGATACCTAAAGCATTAAATTATGTTAATGAATTGAACCGTATACGGTAAAGTGTTACTAAATGTGCTATATGGCATTTTAAAGGGTAACTTTAAATTGTTTTAGAGAACCATATGTTATTTGATGCTGATTATGCTTTTATACCTATTATACGTCTAGTCCATCTAGATACAAATATACTTTTATTTTTCTCTGGTAAGATGTTGCTGTGAAAGTACTGAATAAGTGCATGTATCTTTTTTTCCTGGTTTATTATTTTAAAGGTGCAAGAAGAGTTTGTGAAAAACATGGAGAACACTTCCGTCGAGAGCCTCATACAGAAACTGGCAGAAAGCAAAGGGACAGGCAAAGAGAGACCAGGTAACACAGCTAAATCACGCACACACAGCTTTAACCTCTGGCACTGAACTACTTTGCTCTTGATATTATTAACAAGACTGGTCATGAGTTCATTACCAACTGACTAAATAATTTTTTTTAAATTTTTTGGTGGGGGATTAGAAATGAGCAATAGTCCGCACTATAACACTAGGAGTATGTTTGACTTGATTGCTGTAACACGGTGGAGTTTACACTGGAGGATTTGTGGCGTTCTGACCCTTACAGGGGCTTTCAGCCAAGGTCTCAGCCAGCACTGGCCGTCACATGCTAAGTGGAATGTCAAGCTCGCCCACCTTTACACGAGATTAAGCCACTTGAAATTGATAGAGCTTGACACGGCTACACTTCCCCCTGTGCTCTGGCTATTTTTCCTCACTTATCCCTCCGTGACCTTTCATCTGACCTCCTGCTTCTCCCTCTTTTCACAGGGTGGAAGTTTTTTCACATTTCACATAGAGAATATAATCTTGCTGGAAGCTTAAGGGGTGTGGAGCGTAATTAAACCAGTTTAGCCAACAATTATGTTAACAATATAAATGTTACACACTAGGATTTTGCCTTTGTTTTGGTTTGAAAAACCTTCTTAAAATGTTTTTCCTCTCTTAGCAATGTTTCAAACATTTGCTGTGTTCAGTGTGTTGTTTGAACATCCTGACACAGTGACATAGGCTCACCCAATGGCATGAGTTTGGTGCGGGGCTATCTGTTTTATTCGTCCAATGGCAAAAAAAAAATTTTTGAAAACAAAAAATGTCCTTGTTTGGTGACGCTAGTGGAAGTCACACAAATTACACACTTCAGCTGTAATTCCCTGTTTTCTCACCACTCCTATATGATGTTGTGTTGTGTTGTGTTACACACTAGTGTTTAAAATTTGGGGGTTGGTAAGACTTTTTAAAAAATACTTTTAACATTATGAAATATTACAATTTAAAACAACCATTTTCAGTATATTTAATAAAGGAGTTATACTTTATTTTGATATGTAATTTATTCTTGACATTTGAATTTGAATTCATCAGTGTCACATGATCCTTCAGAAATCTTTCTAATATGCTGATTTGGTGCTCAAGAAACATTTCCTCTTATTATCAGTGTTCACAGTTGTGCTGCTTAATATTTTAATAATAAAAGAAAGTTCAAAAGCATTTATTTGAAAGAGAAGTCTTTTGTACCATTATACATATCTTTACCATCATTTTTGATTAATTTAACGTGTCCTTGCTGAATAAAAGTATTGAAAATATATAAATAAATAAAAAACGTTTCTGAATAGTAGTGTATATATGTATAAGTGTGTTTATATATAATATTCTCTACGAAGGTAGCCCAGATAAACTATGTATGAGGATATAGTGAGCTATAGAGGCTTTTGGTTGCCCTCCATTTGTTTTGACAGCAGAATTAATTGAGACTAAAAGCTGTTTTGGTCAACAAAACATTCCTTCCCCATATCAAGCTGTTCATTAGGGATTGCGCCGCTGTCAGAGCAGTAATCTGTGTGGCAAGCTGATGAAATCAGAGCAGTCCTAACCAGTATATAGAGAGAGAGAGAGGTTGAACAAACTTTGTACCACGGAAACAATCCCGAAGTGACACGCTGGGCTGTAGAGAGGTTGCAAGAGCAGTTCAACGATATCCAGCTGGGCTGTGAACTGGCCGCCAGCCAGACACGCAAACTCTCCTTGCTTTGCCATCCGAGAGTCCATGCTCAGCATATGCAATTAAAAAAAAAACATCCTTGGTTAATGCATGACTGCATGCGCCTCTCATAAACAAACACACGCATGTGTATGAGCATTCACAAAAGCACATATTTACCTAGCTATCTAAATAAGGACATACCTTAGACTGTTGTATTTTTCCAAAATAAATCTAATTATAATTACTAAAGACAATCCCTAATCGAAACCCAACTCTAACTAAAAAATTTAGAGTTTTAATAAAAATGAGGACATTCTTTTTGAGGACATTCCAAAATGAAGGTTTTATTAGATTTAGCTAACTTCTGTGGACATTTTTCAGCAATGTTTTCCTCAAAGTATTGCTATAAACCCACACACACATAAATACACACGTGTTCATGTAAACAAAGCGGTCTGTCTGTGTACATGAATTTAAACAAAACCTAATACCCTTTTTCCAGATTTAGATGGCATTGTTGTGTCTGATGGTTGGATTTGTGTGCATAAATATTGTTAGATGGAGTCTGGAAGTGTTGTCAGTTGCACCGTTCCTCGCCTGACATCACTCAATTAGAAGAAACTGTTCCTCAGTCCTGCAGCTGCATGGAAATCTTAGAAATCGATCTGCTTTGTCCGGCTTTCTAAATCTGTTTAGACAAACTTGCTGATTTGTTGTAATGAAGGCAAGGCAAGGCAAATTTATTTATGTTGCACATTTCATACACAATGGTAATTCAAAGTGCTTTACATAAAATGAATACAAAATAATACAGATGTTTTTTTTTTAGCCTTTCTAATTTGGCTATTATTTGGAGACAAGGTTGATGAATATTTTAGCTAAAGCTGACCTGAAGGTCCTCAGAAGGACAAGGTTTTGTTTTTTGTAGTTGTTTGTTTTGTTTCATTTTATTTTGTAGTTGTTTCGCTTTTGTTTTGTTTAGGTTTTTATTCTAAAAATGCTAAAGGTTTTCTGAAGGTTAGTTCTTTTAGAAGAATTATTACATAATAGCAAAAACAATGCATGTCTGTGCTATGTCCCTAATAAGACAGTGTGTGGTTCAAGTAAATTAAAGCAATAAGCCCCGTGAAGCCACTGTAAACCACGGCTTCACGGGGCTTATTGCTTTTATAAAACGGTTATTCCGTATACGTAGTTAGGTTTCACAAAATAAAACGGAGCAAATAAAGTGTAATGATATTAATAAAAACAGTATTCTTCCACCAAACAATGTAGTTCCTCAGAAACCGTTGTGGTTGCAACAAAGTGGTTGCCAAGCAACACACAAAGTAAACAAAGGTGTATGTTTGTAGAGTAATTTACAACCGCTTCGAACGCGGCTCAACCAATCAGAATCAAGGACCGGAACTATACATTTTATAACAACTAATCTGATATGTTTAATATGATTTCAATTGAAGTGGGTCTTTCATTTTTCGTGTGTGTGTATTTGGGTACGTGTGTGAACTGACAGCATTTGACCTTTAGTTCTGATTGTGTGATCAGAGATGATCTCAAACAAACAATAACAGAGATAAGAGAGTGAAGTGATCTGGTGCAGTAGAGTAGATCAGTCATACTGCATCTGCGTCAGCGTGTGTGTGATGTGTGCCTGTCGTGACTGCTCTGAACAGTGCGCATGAGGTCCGTCACAGCCGTCATTCTCCAGGGAAACTGTATTGAACCGCTTGAGTTAAATATCACACGCTTTTGTTTTTCAGGTCAAGGCGTTTTCTGTGCAATGAAAATAGCGCCCCAGGCTCTCTTGCAGAGGTCTGGTAGTAGTAAAATGCTGTCTTTCCTTTTCTTGGACAAGCATTAGCTTTTATGTGCATTAACACAAAAGAAAACACGCTCTAAAGGGCTCTTAGAGCACTGAGCCAGTTCTCTTTACAGCCAGTCATGAAAGCACAGAATTTATATTTATATGCTGTTCAGAGTAATGTTAGATTTCATGTTGAATCCTAATGTTTCGCGTTTTAACTTCACTCTGAAATAAAAACTTGGCTGACAAGTTGTTGGGTCATGACTGCAAAACCCTGAGCCGTGAAATACAGTGACTTTGTTTGCTTAAATCCCTTCACCCATGTGTCAGTGTGGAAATGGGTCATGTCAAAAGTGTTAAAGCTTGGAGGTAAATATGCAAAATTGATGAGCAAGAAATGAAGCTTGCGGTTTGTTGTCTTTTGCAGTTATATGTTATATTAATTCATATTTTCAGTGAAGACTAGTATACAGCATTTAGTGTGTGAGTGTTATCAGTGCTGCACGTCATTGTATTGGATTTGTGTGTTTGTTTGATTTCTGAGGTTAAAAGCAGAAGTGCTTCCAGGCATTTATGTGTGCACATCTATTAGTGTGTGTTGCATGCTGGCTGTGAACTAAATGCTCTGGCTTAAAGAAGAAGTCAGATTGTGCTGATTGCCACCAGACCTACTGAGGACTCTGTAAATTTGCTTGCCAGAAAAACCTGACCTGCGTATTTGTTACTATTTTCGTGGATTTAAGTTCATGGTTTTATGAAACGCTGTAAAAAAAAAAAATACAAAAAATAATAATAAAAAAATTAGTTTTAATATTACGCCATATGTTAATTCTTGAATTCAGTATACTGTAACAGGACATCCCTTCAATCATTTGTATTTGTTCGTTATCATTTCAGGGCCCATTGAATTTGAGGAATGTAATGTCTCAATCGCCACAGAAGGTCTGAATGAATTTTTCTCTCTGTTCCCATTTTCTTTTTTATTGTTATGTAGGGAACATATAGAATATAATTTCACTTTAATATCTCTGATTTCATCTCTTTATAATAATTCATTTAGAATGTTAGTTTTGTAGCCTTTACATTCTGTTTAAAAGTCATAATACCCATTTTAAGATTGGTTTCAGATGCAACTCTATTTGTCTAGATTTGTAATAATCATTGCTGTGTCTGTTTAGCTGTTAAACCCAGAAAAAGGAAGACCTTTGCCATACCAGGCAGACGGAGAGATAAAGACACAGATTCCACGTAAGTGTTGACTTTTACTTTAATGTGATCTTGCTTGTTTTTTATGACTTTTGAACAATATTTTTTAAAGAATTAAACTATTTTAAACTAAATTCTCAAACGTACTGTTCTTCATAGTAGTTTGTGAGTTACTTGTAATTTTATGTGACAGAGGATTATGAAAATTTCGATCTGGTGATAAATTAAGTTTAGAGAAGTAGACATATTTTTGTTATGGAGAGTTTTTTGTAATTTAGAGCAATAATTATAATGTTTGAGTAATTATAATAACTTATGTTTGCAGAGTAATTTTGCATTTGAGGTAAAAATGAAGTATTAACGTTCCATAAACTTTTCTCTGTCTTGAATAGTGAATCGGCTGAAGTAGAAGCGGCTGTGAGTATACATTTTTCTATTTTCTTTTTTTAATATTATTAATAATTTATTATTACTGGAGAAAATTATTCTTATTTTGAATGTTACAGTACATTAATTATTAATACATTAATAGTATCAAGACAATACTAAAGGTGTTTTTCTGTAATTTCATAATATGAAACTCATTTTCTTCTGATCAAAGTATGCTCCCTCTTGTTATTTTGGAGAAACTCCGTTTGATTCGCACCCACAAAGCTCCTTTTGTTCGTCTTTCTTTCAGAACACTTCCAACGGAGCTCCCCCGGGTTTCTACGGTGCTATAGATCTTCATAACGCCGTGAGTGGTGACCTAATGTTGTTGAAGGATTGTCTATAATTCTTACAATGTTACGTAAAGACAACATAGTCTAAATGCTTCTTGTGATATCGCTAACAATAGTGTGTTTTACCTCAGTCGGACTCTCCTTGTGCTGTGATGTATTGAAGAGTGTGAATAATAGGATTTTGTCTGTGGTGTGTTCTGTGTTTTTCTGCAGAATGTGCCTCAGCTGGACGAGGAGGGCTTCTGTATCCGACCAGAAGTCAACGAGAATGATATCCTTACTCCAGATCCATCTCTTCCATTCCCCATACACACACACTTTCATCTCAGCCACAGAAACATTTTCCTTTATCTCTTTCATCGCCTCTACTCAGTATAAACTCTGAACACTTTTTTTTGGCTTGAGAACATAGTGTGATAACTTTTTTTTGTTGCACTTTTATCTGAATGTCTGCCAAGTCATTCCTTCCCATCAGATTTTCTTCGTTCCTCTGTTTTCTTTACCAAAGCTGCGTCATCACTCTATGTGGACTAGAATACATGTTAAAAAATTCAAATAAAATACCAAACCTGATCTTCTTAGCCCGTGATACTTTAGACAAATTTTCATGCCCTGCGTGTATCTTTTTTGTGTATGTGTGTCAACCATTTTCCTTAATGTTTCTGATCACATGCCAAAGAGAACTCCTTTTATTCATCCAGTGACTCAGAAGATGAAGACGAGCCAAGAAAATTCCACGTCCAGATCAAACCCGTGCAGACCAACAACGGCACACACCAGCACAAAGCCACCATCGACGAGCTGAAGGCCTCTATTGGAAACATCACCCTCTCGCCCACCCCTGCTGTAAGAGATGCCTCTCACCAGCACACACACCATGTGTAAAGATCCCATGACCGCATACTCCTCACATATAGACGTATATCTTGCATTCACATTCATTCATACACAGAGTAATGCACGCTGGGCTCCCTCTATAAAGGGTGATTGTGTACAGCGTCAGCAAAGAGACTTGTGATTGGTTGATACCATTTACAGTCATGTTTCTGTTTCCCACACATCTCGCTTCATCTCTTCCACCAAAACCTACGATGGCCCAGCAGACACTAGAGGGCAATATTTGATTATGATATTTACAGGCGATCCTTAGAAATGCTGAAAATACTTTCACACTTTTTTCCCTATCCTGAGTTGTGTGCCTGAGTGCAATTATATTGTGTGTGTGTTTATTTTTGTGTGTGTGTGTGTGTGTGCGCGCATTCTTGTGACAAATGAGGACATAAATTTGTATAATGACAAAGGTATGGCATAGGTAAGGAGAAGGTGTCTTTTCAGGACATTACCCCATGTCCCCACTTTTCAAAACGCTTATAAATCACACAGAATGGAGTGTACTGAAAATCTGAAATAGCACAAAGTTTCCTGTAAGGGGTAGGTTTAGGTGTAGGGTTGGTGTAGGACAATAGCACATACAGTTTGTACAGTATAAAAACCATTATGCCTATGGGATGTCCCCACTTTTCACAAAAACAAACCTGTGTGTGTGTGTGTGTGTGTGTGTGTTCATAACGCACCTGTAGATTTAACTGGCTCATTCAAAACAATATTGTGTAGGCCCAACAGACGTTAGACTTTACCAGCGAGGGAATGAACATTTTATTAATCTCTAGTGGTTTGAGTCTGAGTTGGTCACTATGACATGATAGGTGGTGACATCACACATGTACTGCTTTGTGCAAAGGTGACCTACTATTCTGTCATTTAATGTTGTAAATTATTTTTGTGTGTGTGTGTGTGTGTGCGCGCATTCTTGTGACAAATGAGGACATAAATTTGTATAATGACAAAGGTATGGCATAGGTAAGGAGAAGGTGTCTTTTCAGGACATTACCCCATGTCCCCACTTTTCAAAACGCTTATAAATCACACAGAATGGAGTGTACTGAAAATCTGAAATAGCACAAAGTTTCCTGTAAGGGGTAGGTTTAGGTGTAGGGTTGGTGTAGGACAATAGCACATACAGTTTGTACAGTATAAAAACCATTATGCCTATGGGATGTCCCCACTTTTCACAAAAACAAACCTGTGTGTGTGTGTGTGTGTGTGTGTGTGTGTGTGTGTTCATAACGCACCTGTAGATTTAACTGGCTCATTCAAAACAATATTGTGTTGGCCCAACAGACGTTAGACTTTACCAGCGAGGGAATGAACATTTTATTAATCTCTAGTGGTTTGAGTCTGAGTTGGTCACTATGACATGATAGGTGGTGACATCACACATGTACTGCTTTGTGCAAAGGTGACCTACTATTCTGTCATTTAATGTTGTAAATGAAGTGCGTGTGTGAGTGTGTGTGTATAGTTATGTGGTCAAGCAATTCCTCCTGCACACACTGTGGGCCTGTGGACCATCTGTGTGTGAGTGCTGTTGGTAAACAAACCCATGCAACTTCCTGCCTGAAATCTCACCACAGGAAGCACGGAGGGACTCCGTGTTTCTAATGTGTAAGATCACGTAGGTGAATGCGCATGGGCAAGAGCTGTGTCTGTAACAAAAAGTTTAGTTTAACAGTTTTTAGTTAAATAAAGGCAGCCGATGTCTTGACGTGTTCAGAGCCAGTTCTGAAATATCCATGATTCTTATGAATGGATTGCAGCTTTTCTTTTTTGACAAAAAAAAAGGATTACTTTCATTCAGCACGGATGCATTCAATTGATCAAGAGTGACCGTAAAGACATTTAATATTACAAAAGATCTTCTTATTGTTATTGTTATTATTAAATGCTATTTGGAACTTTGTATTTATCAAAGAATCCAGATTCTACAAAAATACTGAGCACCACAGCTATGCATTTTCAACATTAATGATAACAATAAGAAATGTTTCTTGAGCATCAAATCAGCCTATTAGAATGATTTCTGAAGGATCATGTGACACTGAAGAATGAGTAAGGATGCTGAAAATACAGCTTTTCATCACAGGAATAAATTATATTTTAAAATACATAAAAAATTTAATTAGAAAAACAATATTTCCAAATATTACTGTTTACTGTGATTTTGATCAAATAAATGCAGCCTTGGTGAGCATAAGAGACTTTGTTCAGAAAACATTTTTAAAAACCGTACCAACCAAACTTTTGAATGATAGTGTGTTTGTATTGGCTGATAAACATTATGATGTGTTATGGACAGAATAAAAACAAATTGGTTAGGTTTGTTATCAGTAACATTGTTTGTAACTATGATTTTCTCTTTGTTCAAGATTTCATCTGCTCAGTTTCACCCTTTTTGTGTGTGTTTTACATGCTCTCTCTGCATCCCTTGCTCTTCATTCTGTTGTGACGCTTCGAAATGACAGAGTGATGTATTTCTGCAATAACACATCCTCACAAGTGCCAGCTTGTGTTTTCAGTGAGCACAGCCGGGGCGACAGTTTACTTTAGACACCTTCGCTGCAGCCTCTGTTTGCTCTGTTTGAGATGGATTAACACACTTCTTTTAGGTAGGCTCTTCATCATTCATTTCACCAGGCTTGAGCTTTCTGTCTTCTCCCAACTGTGCTCAGTAATCCCTCAGATTAGCCTCTGAAACATTTACACATCTCAAAAACTACATTCACCATACTGAACATTTGTCTGTGTCACATATCAGAGTTGTTTCCTTTCCCTCTCAGTCTCATTTCTTTTCGTTGCCCTGTTTGTTTCATTTATTTAGGCAGATATGTTTTATGGCAGTTTGGGTTAAATCAGGAAATCAAGGTGACGACGAATGCCATGTCATCTGTTGTACTGTACATTATTGCTATTATTGAGCTTTCCATTTCCCCTAGTCTTCTGTTGTTTCTGTTTCCCCTTCATGTTCTCTCTCTCTCTTTCTTTCGTTGGCGGGTTGAACCCATTTGCCACTCTGCCTATGGGACTAAACCCTGCCTTTACTCTATGCACGTATGTGTGTATTAGTATGCATGTGTTTGTTTGTGTGTTTCCACAGTTTTTCCTTCACAGTTTACCATTTAGTTACTTGTATGGTCCATACGTTGATTTTCTAATGTGTTTCTTTTCATCAAAATAAGTGGGATTTTTTTCTATCCACTCAGACAGAGTTTGAGGCAGAGAGGCTTCATATGAGTCACTTTGAATACACAATAAACCAAGCCTTCCCGTCTTTGTGCGTTTGTTGCCGTTTTGCTAGTTGACTCTTGTTGACATTTCTTAGCCTCAAAACAATCCTGGTAGTGAATTCGGTTGAATTCTCTGCCACTCATTTCCTCATGTTTAGACTGCCTGCAGAATGTTGTTGCTGAACTTATGGTTTGAATATGTAATCTCACTACTGCGGTTCTCTGCTAGATCTTCTGTGTGTGTGTGTGTGTGTGTGTGTGTGTTTGTCATCCTGTGAGGCCAGTATCTATTGAACGAATGTGAGGATGAAGCACTTCATGTCTTCTGCTGTTTTCGTAACTCCTCTCACTCTCATTAATAAAAGCCTGTTTTCATTTCCAGGTTCATATGAAGAGAAACCAATCCAGTGAGTATTCTTCTTTTTTTCATCCTCCCTCCATCCCTCTGTCAATCTGAAGGTTTGGCTCTGGAGAGCGCCTGCCATTTTGTTTCTAGCCAAGCCTCCTTCATGTTGCTCTGGTGACCCCTCCAAAGCCAACTCATCCCATGAGAAAATAAACATCATCTCCCATTTTTTCCTCATCTGAGTAGCACAGTGTTGCCTCCTTAAGCCATGAGCAAGATTAACTGCTTAATTGTGTGTTTATGTTTTTCTATCCGTCATAATTTTAAATTTTTTACAGTAAATTGTGGCTTAAACGAGCACAGATGCATGCCAGAATGTAGTGTTTACACTGCGGCATGTTCTCACATCAAGAGCAACAATTTCAAGTTAACCTCCCAGGAAAGTTTTACATGCTTTAAATCTGTAATCGTTTTGTTATTCTTACACTGGAACAGTTAACATTTCTTCAAAAAACGCATTTATTGCAAACCTCTTGCACATGCTGAATTTGATAAGGTCTGGCAAATAATTTAATGCGATAAGTCCTTTAATCTAATATATTTTGTAGTTTATCTGAAATCATATCAAGATGCAATTTCAGGAACGACAAGAGATAGATAGTCGAGAAAGCATTCTTTTCTTATGTTTTAACTGAACCATGTTTAAATTCTTTTTACAAACTGATTTTATGGCCAGCATATATTATACTTATCAGTTTATTGGTGTTGGGCCAAATTTTTCTTATCAGGTTATGGCCAATAACTGATAAATGGCCAGTATTAAAATTGTATACTATTTTGTCTAAATAAAATAAAACACACACACACAAAAAAACTGATGTTTTAAATGCTTTATTGACTTTGGACATCATGACATTATAATGTACGGTATGGAAAATGTATATTTATTAAAGAGTATATTTAACTGTGTCATTAAATTATTAGTGTTTTTAAAGTTAACTTTAGTGGGCTTTGGATGACTGCAAAATATATTCTAAATCGTAAAATGTGCACAGTTAAATATCCAATATCAACTGATACCGATTTAAAAAATTCTGGTACATATATATTTCTTATTATGCGGCACTTGTGCAAATTAGGTTTCTAGAATAAACTGAAGAATATGTAGTACTGAATATTATTGTAAATGTGGATCTCACACATACTTACTGTAGGAATGACACGGCAACAAACATTCCCTGCTATAAAACCAAAGGCAGGTGAGTATTCCCCAAGAATCTTAGTCACCCAAACTCTCTTTTGGTCCACAGCTGTGTGTGTGTTGGTGGGAATGAGGGATTCCTCTGAAGCTTAAAAAAATTGAAAACAAAATGTGCAAATCACAAATTAATTATTTATACCAAAATTATATTTGATTACTAATATAATCTGTTGTCTTTTAACACTGTCATTTGTCCTTTGTGTATAATATACTGTATTGCATGTCATTTTAAATGTATGTATTTGATACCTTTACCTGTGACAAATGGGGTTGCAAGAACGTGTGTCTCATGTAGTACTCAATTTGCTACCAGTTTTATAACCACAAGACATGGCACTTAATGGTTTAGAAACACTATCTTTTCTTAAGCAAGTGACTACTGCTGTTCATTTCCTGGCTTCCATATTGTTTTTGTTCCCCTTGTATACAACAATAACCTATGTCTTAATCTAGTATTTAACTTTTACTTCATGAAACACATGAGCTGCATTTTAATCAGGACCTAATGAGCAGTGCCTAACTGTAAGAATGCTAATTTAAGAAAACCCTTTGTTATATTTGTATAGGGATTTCTCAGCTTAATTTAAGGGGTTTCTTGCACCTGGCTTCAGATCATGAATAAAGCCTGAAGAGTTGCGCCGTTACTCAGTTGCTTGTGTTCTCATTGTTTTACAGGTGATGAACTGGGACGGTCCAAGATAGCGCAGACATCCTTTAATGAGTAAGAGAAGCTTTGCTGTTAACCTTTTTTGAAAAACAATATAACCAGTTATTCACTTTGATTTACAACTTTCATCCTTTTTTTTTTATCCATCTTCATTATCCAGTAATGACCTGCTGTCTTTGGATCCATTTGGCCCGACCAGCACTGGCTCCAGCTCCTCGCTACCCCACTCATCAGGTAACACCGTCTGTTGTAATACAGCAAATACACACTCTTCTGGGTACATAAAAAAAAAAAAAAAAACTTGGTGTCAATGTCATTATTATATCAGTAATCTATTGTTGTTAAACACTGTTTATAAAACCAAATTCAAGGTCTTTTTTTTCTTATATCTTATGCAAGTTTTACAAAATAGAAGATAGGTACAATTACATTAATATTTATATTTAAAACACATCTCAGGGTCAGCATCTACACTTATCTCAATGACAGAGTTCAGCTTGACAGTGATGGAGTCAGAACGTTCTTCATCAACAACACACACACACACACACACTGTACAGGCAGACAGTCGTAAGTCATTCACCCCTCCATCCCCCAGCCTCTGGAAGGCTTGTCTTAGGTCTGACATCCTTCATTATTGATGATGCTTACAGGCTGGTGAAAGTGTCAGGGCTTTTCCAGTCCACAACAGTCTCCTCTAGAGAGCTTGCTCAGGCTGCTGTTGTCACGGAAACCCTCATATCCCACAGCCACTTCATATCTCACTCAGTCTGTCCTTTGCTTTAGTATGGAATCTTCTGTTAATGCCATGGGATTTATTTATTTTAAATTGTGGTTTTGTTTTGTTTTTATTTTTGTTCATTTTTGTTTATGTGTACTTTTTTACATTTTGGTGTTACAGTATCGGCGTTTTGAAAACATCTCAATTGTTTACTGATACTTGAATTTGTAACTTAAATTGAACTTAAATTTCTAAAAGTCTCATTTTACCCCACTTCTTTCTACAGAATTTTACACCCCCCAGGCTTTATTTGTGAAACACAAAAATAATTGATTTCTTTATAAAGCGTGCTTACTGTAAATCAATTTAACATAAATATTCCCATTGAATTAAATGTCAGTTTACGCAAGAATGGGTTTTATGTATGATTTACACACAAAATTGCGTGTGCATTATGAAAAAGACCCCTGGGTGTATGCCGTGAGTGTAGTCCCTGTGCTCCCTCATGCTCTACGTGACTCCCTCTCCTTTGCTCTTGACCTTGATTGTTGAAATTAAATGTAATTTTCACATCTGGGAATTAGGAGCTTCCATATCTTGGGGAATGGTGCAGTTGGCAGTAGTCTTTCTTGACCCAATGTAAATATTATCATTTAGATGTACATCAACAACAATTAGATGCAAATAATTTTCACAGAATTTATGTAGTATACTCAAATTTATTTTTTGTGGCTTTTAATTATGATTCGGTCTGATATCCTACAATGATTTCAGCACGATAAACATGATAATCAGAACCAAAACAGATGCTTTTAGCAGGTCCGACCTGTAATGGCACAGCTCTATTCTGGAAAAGGGGGCGGGGAGCAGCAGCTCATTTGCATTTAAAGAAACAGGCCCGAAAAACAGCGTGTTTCTGCTTCCACTCAAAATAGGCATTTTCAAAATGTTATAATAAATGATCTGTGGAGTATTTTGAGCTGAAACTTCACAGACACATTCTGGGGACACCAGAGACTTATATTATATATTGTATAAAGGGGCATAATATGTCTCCTTTAACTTAATATTTCTTACAAAATAAAATATTACAATATCTGAGTAAATTCTAGTCTGACTGTTATAGTTTTAAAAGGGCATCGTTTGCAAACAAGTGAGGGCTTTTTTCACTGATAATCCACTCAATGCAGTCACTAAAAAAGCCAACCCATCATTCAAGCTTTGACCTTAGCTGCGAGGGCCAATCATAATCCAGAGTTAATTGGCACTTTCAGAGGTCAGAGGGTGGAGTTTAGCGTCCCCATGTCACAGACGTCAAACCTGATCTTGTTATGGGTCTGACCTGGCAAAGGAACAAAAAGAGCAGTGAATAGGATATGGGATGTTAGTAACACAGCGAGTTATTGTGCTAGATTTTTTTTCTTCTCCTGTGTGCCATTTAGGGTTTTTTTTTTACTTAGCTTTTGAATGTTATTTCTTTCATGTGTATTTCTTTTCTACTGTCATAATATGTTTAAATTGACCCTTATTTGTGTTGATTTCTTTTTATTTTCTCATCCTCGCTTTGTATTTGTTCAATGCTTTTATTTTTTAGACCTGGCTTCTCTCTTCTTAGCATCTTTCCCTACATCTCCCCCACTGCAGTTAAATGATGAGGTTTTTGAAGATCCAGGTAATGCTTATGACCCATGCCTGCAGTGTGATCATCAGAATAAAACTCTTCCCATAACAGACACTGACCCTAATGGCTCAAAAATCTGCACACATGCGAATGATGATAGGAATGTTTTGCTTGAACTCACCCCTAATATTTCTAAGAGATGTATCTGTGAATATGAGTGTTTTCAACATTTTCTGTCCACAGAAGATAAGAACAGAGCCACACTTCATTGTACTTTTAGGATAGTTCTCTCAAAAAGGAAAAATAGTTCATCATTTACTCAATCAAAAAAAAAAAGTTGGAAAATCATAAGAGTGAGTAAACAATGACAAAATTTACACATTGGCCCAGACACTCGTTTGTCAGTATTTTATTAGATTTATTTTATACATTTGTATTAGTTGTAATTGACAGAGGTACATGAAGTTTAGCTGGTAGTTTGCTTTAGGATCACCGGGTTGTCTTGTTATGTGTTTTAGAGGGATCTTTAAAAGTACGTTTCAGTAGGATTCTACAATATGACCATTATTTTATAATAGGTTTTATAATATATTTGTATTATTTTATAAATTAATACTTTTATTTTATTTTAAAAAGTAATTTGTATTTTTTTTCATTGTTTTTCTTTTTTTATATATAGTTTTATACTGATTTTGTTTTACTATAAATTGTATCTTTACATACATATTTTGATCATTTTCACTGATACTGCCTCATTTAAAAAGGTCTGTTTATTTCATTTACTTCAAATTTTTCCCAATGTTGTGCTCATATGACTTTTTTTATATATAGTTATGTGAATTGTAGAGCTGTTTTCCACATTCAGATTCAGAGCCTGCATAGACACACATCCAGGTCATCTGTGCTTCTTTCATTTTCTCCATGTAGTCTTTTCAGCATGCCTGTCAGTATGTGGTACATTTTTACAACTGTGCATTACTCTGTTCTCTCTGATGACCCCTGTAACAGAAGTGGATTTACAGTGGGAGCCCACCTCTCCTTCAGCAGTCAGTCTTGAGATTACCAAGGCTCCTTCTTTCCCCCTTCCCTCCAAACTGCCGCCTCCTGCTGGTCTTGCCAAGCTGAGCTCCTCGCCATTCCCTGTTCTCCCCTCTGCTCCCTCCATCTCTCCTTGGGAGCTTCCTGAAACGGCTGTTGCTTTCCGCCACCCTGGCCCAACTCGAGCAATGAGTGTGCCTCCAGCCCTACAGTCCACTTCTAAGGACTGTGCTACCCACAAGCCCCCTCTCAGTGCTCCCGCAGCTGGTCCAGACATGTTTTCTTCTTGGGCCCAGAACCAATGGATTGCCTTTCCATGTCGTGGACCGTCCCATCAACCAGCGAGGCCTCGTTCAGTGCCCGTGTCTCAACAGCTCAAGGTTTTCTCCAGAGAGCCTGCTGACCCATTTGGCAGCACTGGGAGAGAGGAGAGCACCCCCACTCTAAAGGAAGCACCAGCCCGACCCATGCAGGATGGTAATATTGAGGAATGAGAGTTCTAAGCATGTTCAAACGCTGTCCCATGGCTACATGACAGTGATATACGTGTTCTGTGGTTTTAACAAACCTGATTTTTTTTACGTAACTTTTTAATTCAATTTTAATTCATTGTAAAGTAATGATTTGTTGGATTTGGTCCTTTTTATTTTATTTTTTTTATTTTTATTGATTGATTGGTGAAAATGTATTTATTATTTTTTTTGCATTTTCTGCATTGATTATTGTTTTGAATAATACAAATGTAACCAAATAACCTGTAAACCATCATAGTTTAAATTACAGTTTAGCTAGATAAAAAATTGGCCCAAGTTTATTTTAATTATTTTATTTTTTTTATTTTGTTTCAGCTACACAAACTAACTTGGTAAAGTTACTCAAATGAATTTATTATTTTTTAGTTTTCTGCATTGATTATTGATATGAATAATGCAAATGTAACTTTTCAAATGTACTGTTTAGCTGGATACAGGAATACAGTAAGAAAATGTGTGGGCCAAATTTGGTTTGTTTTTTATTATTTTTATGCATGTATGTTATTTATTTATTTATTTATTTTCACCTACACAAAGCAACTCATTAAAAATTACTCATTAATAAATTACTCATTAATATGTTTGAAATGTGTCTGCAAAATTGCTCATAAATACTATATCCAACATTTTCTAATTCAAAAACAGTTTAACTATGGTTTTAAAAGGTGCTGATTTTTCTTTTAGGTTTTTTTGCTTGATCTTATTTTTTAGCCTTATTTTCTGTATTTACTTTTGTTGATATTGTGACGCTGACCCTTGCATGTGCATTAGGTGTAATCTTTAGATTTGACTGTTAGCTTGTTTCTGCAAGACTGTGTGATGTCAAACCCAGTATAGCAACATTTTGATTTTAATCATGCTCAGAGAGTGCTACCTCTGTATTTTCCCCTTTTTTGTGGTTCTAACATTTGTGGTCACCTTTTCTGTTTTTTTTTTTTTGCATGCATGCATGCATGCACAGTACCACCTCCAAACAGGCCAACCACTCCCCTGGGCACAGCAACCATTGTCCCGCCTCCAAGACCATTATCACGGCCCAAACTACCTACAGGCAAGCTGACGGGCATCAATGAGGCTGTGAGTAAAGAAGATATTTCCTGATTCCCCTTTACCCAGTCTAGTTTACAGGGATTGATCTGAATGAAGATTGAATGCAGTTAATTATTAATCGGTTTGTTGTTTTCTGCAGGGCCGACCGTTCAGCCCTCCTAAGATATCCAACTCCAGCCCTCCTCCCGCTGCTCCTCTGGCTCATGCAGAGAGCTCCTCCTCTCTCAGCTCAAACACTTCCTTGAGCACCAGCAACACACCTACTGTCGGTGAGTTTTCAGTCTCACACACACGCATATACACATGATGAACACAAGAAGAACAGAGGATGCACACACAAAATGTTTTTTTCACATCATCCACATTCATATCACACATGCCAAATGATGCAATACGGATTCTTCCACACTGTTATCATTTATTACATGTATTACTTAATCATTATTATAACAGTAAAGTCATAATTCATATATATATAGTTTTGTTTTTTTGTTTTTTTATAGCCATGTCCACGTCTAAGGAATACTAGCATGCAAAAAAATTATATTGTACACATTATGTATTTCATTATATAGTCAACACATCACTCACCAGATCACTCCATTCTCACCCTTCACTGTTGGGCTGTGCTCTCGCCCTATTTTTTTCTTTCTTTTTGTGGTTTCCTTCCTTTCATTTTGAATTAAGAGGATGATCTGTTCGTGGGGAAACTGCCCACTTTTGAGAAGAGATGTGAGACTCCAGCAGGTACAGTGGAAAGAACCCAGAAGAACATTTTGTTCTAACTTACTAACAGACTCATGAATTATCATCTGTCCTTGATCAACCAACTGCATTGCCCCATCTGGTAAACCACACCCTGTTCTCAGTCTGTGACTCACCATTTAATCTTCAGTGTATTCTACTTGCCTGTTGTGTTGTGGCTGATGAGGATGCATGGCAGAAAATTGCTCAAAGATGTCTTTTCCTTTTTCCTGTTGATTTTTCATTGTTTGTCATTACAAAGGTTTGAATTGTCTGAATTGAATCACATTCCTCCTACTATTTTAGATTCATACTTAAATGTCTGTTTTTTAATGTTTTTTTTTTTT